GAGCAGGGAGCCCGATGCGGGGCTCGATCCCAGGACCCTGGGATCATGACCTGAACCGAAGGCAGACGCTAAACGACTGAGCCACCCAGGCGCCCCAATTTTTGATTTTTTAAATTGAAGTATGAATGACATACAGTATTGTCTTAGTTTTAGGTATATATACTTTATGAAGTGATCTCCACAATAGGTTAGTTGCCATCTGTTAACCTACAAAGTTTTCACAATATTATTGATTATAGAGTATTGCATATCTTGCACTTTAGTAGATAATGGCAAAATTTTTAAGTGATTGAGCCAAAAAAACAAAAAATAAAAATAAAATGAGCCATTTTGCACTCCAGTGGCAGTGTGTTGAGAGTTCCCATTGTTCTACATAATCACTAACCTTAGTATTATCAGGCTTTTTAGTTTTGCTCTCTGATGGGTGGGTAATAGTTTTCATTGTGGTTTAATTTGCACTTCTCTCATTACCAAAGAGCTAGAGTTCTTATTGGTCGTTTGAATTTCTTTTGTGAAGTGCTGATTTGGTTTTTTTGCCCATTTTTTTCTACTGGGTTTTTTTGTTTTGTTTTGTTTTTTAAGTAGGCTTCATGCCCAACATGTGCATCGAACTCACAACCCCAAGATCAAGAGTTGCATACTCCACCAATTGAGCCAGCCGGGTGCCCCTGTATTGGGATTTTTATCATTTTTTTTCTAGTTCTTTATATGTTCTGGATATGAGCCATTTTGTTTTATGTGTCACATAAATCTTCTCCAGTGCTAACTTGTCTTTTCACTTCCTTAAAGGTCTTGTTGAACTTAAGTTTTCATTTTTAATTTAAAGTTATGTTTATCAGTCCTTTCCTTTCTGGATAGTAATTTTTGTGTCTTGTTTAGGAAATCCTTTCCTATCCTGAGTCATGAAGATAATATCTTGTTTCATATTACCAGTTTATTAGGTCTTTATGTAATAGTTCTAAAATATCCAGCTAGAATTGTTGTTTGTGTACAGTGTGAATTGGAGTTGAGTATAATTCTTCTCCATATGGGTATCCAGTTGTTCACTATTTATATGTTTCCTCGCCTTCCCATGACCACACCCTCATACCCTGTAGTACTAGCTTAGTTGTAAATCAAGGGTCTGTATATTTATGGGCTTGTTTCTGTATTCTCTCTTCTGTTCCATTGGTCTGTTTTTCTGTCATTATAACAATATCACATTCTTACTGTAGCTCTGTAATAAATCCCAGTAACAATTACAGCAAGTACTTCTACTTCTTTGAGTAAGTGCCTGATTTTCTTAGCCTTTTGCAATTCCATGTAAGTTTTGAAATTATCTTGTCAATTTCAGCAAACAGACTTTTTGGTTTTGACTGTGATTTTAAGTCTGTGGATCAGTTTGAGAATTGATATACTTACAATATTAAGTCTGATAATTCATGAACATGCTATTATATTTCATTTATTAGGATCTTTAATTCCTCTCAGAGTCTATAGTTTTCTCCCCCAAGGGTCTTATACTTCTTTTGTTAAGATGTATTTCAAGGTACATGATCTATTTTTTATTCCATTGTAAATGATGTTATTTAAGATTTTTATTTTGCATCTTTGTTGTGTTCCACAGAAATAAAATTTTATTTTTTTATGAATTAAAATAATTTGGGGTGCCTGGGCATGTTGGTTAAGTGGCCGACTCTTGATTTCAGCTCAGGCCATGATCTCAGGGTTGTGGAATTAAGCCCTGCCTCAGGCTCCTCTCAGCGCAGAGTCTGCTTGAGATTCCCTCCCTCCCTCTCCCTCTGCCCTTCCCCCTGCTTGTGCACTCTCTCTCTCTCAAATAAATAAATAAAATCTTTTTAAAAAATAATTTATCTGTACAATATTTTGATTTTGCTTCATGGGTATATTAGTCTGGTGTCTGCAAAGAAACAGAAACACACGCATACTCTCTCTCTCTCTTTTCCCTCTCTCTGTCTCTCTCTAATAAAGGTAGAGGAGTCCAAAATCTGCAGTCAGTAAGCTGGAGACCCAGGAGAGCTGGTGGTATAGTCCTAGACCAAGTCCTAGTTTAAGGCAGGAGACCAAAATCCTGGCTCAAAGACTGGCAGAGAGAGAAAGAATTCTTTCTTGCTCAGCCTTTTTTATTCAGGCAGGTCCACTCACACTGGGGAGGGCAGTCTGCTTTACTCAGTCTACCAATTCAAATGTTAATTTTACCCAGAAACCCTCATAGATACACTCAGAAATAATGTTTAACCAAATGTCTGGGCACCCTGTGGCCCAGGCTAATTGACACATAAAATTAACTATCATAGTAGGCAATCAAATCATCTGTAAATCTTTTCCTTTCTAATTCTTGCACTTTTACTTCTTTTTCTTGCTGGACTGCACTATCCAGGACCTCCAGTACAATATGGAATAGAAATGATATAGCGAGTATCCTTGCCTTTTTCCTGATATCAAAAAGAAAGCTTTCAGTATTTCACCATTGACTATAATGTTTATTATAGGCTTTTTGTAGATATCCTTTTACTAAATTAAGTTCACTAAGAGATTTTATTATGAATGAATGTTGAGTTTTTTAGATGCTTTTTTTACTAAATCATTGATATCATATTACTTTTCTTTTTTAATCTGTTAGCATGGTGAATTATTTTGTTTGATTTTCCAACATTAAATTAACTTTACATTCCTGAGATAAACCCACTTGGTTGGTCACATTTTTTTTATATGTATTATGGAATTTAGTTGATATTTTACTGAGGCTTTTATTTCTAGGCTGATGAGTAAAAATGGCTTATAATTTTCATCTTTTTTTTGAGTTTTTATATCAAGGCTAGTCTCACAATAAGTTGGGAAGTCTATTTTGTTGTTCTTCCAGTTTCTTTCTTAAATGTTTAAGTTTGTCAGTAAAGCCATCTAGTCCCATATAATGAGCTATAAAAGCAAGTCTCAACAAATTTTAAAAAGTTGAACTCTTAGAAAGTATGTTTTCTGACCACAATGCAATTATTCTAGAAATCGGTAAAAAAGGGAACTTAAAATACCGTATGTTTAGAAATTAAGAAATATACTTCTAAATTCTAAAGGTCAAAGAAGAAATCATAATGGAAATTAGAAGCTATTTTGAACTGGATAATTAAAAAAAATATTCTATATTAAAATCTATAGGTTTTTGTTCTGTTTTTTTACAAAAGTAGATCTTAGACTAAAGTTTTCTATTACTTTCTGCTCTGTGAGTTAAGAAAAGTTTACAGACACCAACAATTAGAGGTGGGTTTTCCCCCCACTTCTTGTGTTTTATGTCTGTATTTGAATAACTATTCTAGTAAAATGTTAATAATTGTAAAATAAGATTTTCTGAGATTTGTCATAAATATTTTTGCCTGTTCTTTAACTGAGACTTTTTTTTTTAAAGGTTCAGGAGCAAGTACATCCCAATCTCTCAGCTAATGAAGAGTCTCTCTATTATATTGAAGAGCTGATTTTTCAGCTGCTTAATAAATTATGCATGGCTCAACCAAGGACTGTTCAAGATGTGGAGGTAAAAACTATTTTGATATTTCAAAAAGTCACTGAACCATTGTACAAATTAATTTTTTAATCTATATCATTCTAAATCATTATGGAAACTAAAACCATTGAAATCTTATGTGGAATATGTGCTGAGTTCATTTTCAACAAAGATAGCAAGGCAAATCAATGGGGAAAGGAAGGTGTTTGAGCAAAAAAAAAATGCTAAACTAACTGGGTAAATTTATGAGAGAAAAACCCTTGAAACCTATTTCACATAAAAATTAATTCAAGATGCATCATAGTCTTAAGCATAAAAGCTGAAACTATAAAGTTGTAGGAGAGAATGGAGAAGAATATCTTCTTAACCTGGGGTTAGCCAAATATTTTTTTTTTACAGAGGACTCAAAACACAGTAAGTATTAAAGAATAAAATTAATAAGAAAATGAAAAACGTGTAAGTCACAAACCAGGAGAAAATGTTTGTGATATATATTCCTTACAGAGGATTTGTATCCAGAATGTTAACTTCTACAAATCAGTAATAAAAAGACACCTTCCTCCCCCAAATGGGCAAAAGTCTTGAACAGACACTTCATAGAAAGAAGATGTGGTATTGACCAATAAGCACATGAAAAGTGCTCAAGCTCTTTTTTTTTTTCCATTTTATTTTTAAGTAATCTCTACATCCAATATGGGGCTCAAACTCAACCCAGGATCAAGAGTTGCATGCTCCACTGACTGAGCCAGCCAGGTGCCCTTCAAGCTCTTAAGTCACAGGGAAATAGAAATTAAAACCATATTGAGATACCATTTCACACCCCTTTCAAGGGACAAAACTAAAGACTAATAACACCAAATGCATAATTAGAACTCTTACACATTGCCAGTGGGAGGGTAAAATGGTATAACCACTTTGGAAAATTGTTTGGCAGTTTCTTATAAAGTTAAACATATGGTATATCTAGCCTATGACCCAGCAGCTTTACTCCTAAGTATTTAACTAGAGAAATGAAAATATATGTTCACAAGAGACTTATGTATGTCCAAGCAGTTTTATTCATAATACCCAAAAATTGGAAACAACTCAAATTTCTATCAACAAGAAAATGAATAAACGGGTTGTGGTTCATTTATAAAATGGAATACTACTCAGCAATAAAATGAAAGAATGAACTATTGATATGTGTGATAACATGGCTATAATTCATGGACATCATATAGAACAAAAAAAGCCAGACCTCAGAGAGTGCATATGATACGATACATTTCTGTGAAGTTCAGAAACAGCTAAAATTAATGGTGATAGAAATCAGAATGGTGGCTGCCTATGAGTGTGGAGATGGAGATGATAGAAATATTCTGTATCTTTATTAAAGTGATGGTTACACAGGTGTAAGCATTTTTCAAAACATTGAATTGTACACTTAAGATCTGTGCATTGTACTGCATATAAATACTGGTTCAGTAAAGGACTAATAAAAATCTTAAGGCTATTTACTGTTTGATTAATATACAGACACACCTCTAAAAAATTGTGTGAATTAGTGCTAAAATATTTGTTTTGGCTCAGTTTACATGGGAGTATTTTTAGGTTTTTAGAAATACCCATCAGTACAGCTTTCAAAAATTACTTTGGTACTATACTGTTTACATCACCTTTCTTTTGAAAATTGTTTCTGTAATAAAGCAACAACTTCTAGTCTGAAGGAAAATCTTAATTTGGAGTAATTGGGCTATTAAGACTTTTAGGAACTCTTGGAATTAAAGCATTTGTTTCCCTACTCTCAGCTCGACGACATTAAGTATAAAAAAAAGCATACTTCTCAATAGCTAAATATGCTAAAAGATGAGAACATAATTTTAAAAAACAGGAAGTCCCGCTAAAAATTGGAGTTTGATTCACCTATCATTAGTTCTTATTATTCATGCGAACCACTGGTTAAAATTTAGATTAGATGAGCCATAATAGTAACCTAAAAGGCTTAGATTGTTTTTGCCAGGAGATGTATTTCCTTAAGCTGTTCTGAGCTTTGTTACCTACTTGAACCTTTAAAAGGTACATGACATCTCTTCTTTTTAAAATTCTTCTCTATATTTGAAGCTCCAAGGTCAGCAAAAGGAGAGTGACCGCATAATAATTATTAATAATGAATTAACCGCTTCTGCTAGGTAAATAATTTTAACCCTAGGAACCTTATTGTAAAATCACTGGTGAGTATTTCATGCTGGTTTTCATCTCTCCTAATGTTACTACTTTTTCCTAGTTCTTGTTCCATCCTAATTATGCTTATGCTTACAAGCTTTCTGTTTAAATTTCACCTTTTTCTTTACTCATGGGAATTACGTGGAAAAATCTTGAGAGTACTGTTGATCCTTTTTTTAAAAAAATTAGTTATTACAGGAATCAGAACATATGTCACTATTATCTGCTAGGGTTAAAGATGATAAAATTTAGTTTTGTATGAATTTTCTTTTATGAACACTTCTATTAACAATAGTACTGCTGTGATCTGAACAGGAACGTGTTCAAAAGACCTTTCCTCATCCAATTGATAAATGGGCTATTGCTGATGCACAATCTGCCATAGAAAAACGAAAACGAAGAAATCCTCTCTTACTCCCTGTGGACAAAATCCATCCTTCATTGAAGGTAGTAAAAAAAAAAAAAAAAATTAAACATTGGGGAAGTTCTTTATCATGAATAATACTTTATAAGGTATTGGTGTATTTATATAGTATTTATATAGCATGGTTTATGTTAGTATATGCATGTACGTGTGTGTACTTGTACATACACATATATATTAATGTGTGTACAAGTAAAAATACTCTGATAAAATCAGATTTCCTTTCAAATAATATTAAAAGTTATTGATAAGCAATAATACATCTTTGTGGTATCTTCTGTTGAGTATTACCCCTGACTGATTCTCAACCTCTAATTAAGAAAATATATATTGTCGGGGCGCCTGGGTGGCTCAGTCGGTTAAGCATCTGCCTTCAGCTCAGGTCATGATCTCAGAGTCCTGGGATTGAGCCCCGCATCAGGCTCCCTGCTCAGTGGGGAGTCTGCTTCTCCCTCTCCCTCTGCCCTTCCCCCCACTTGTGCTTTCTCTCATTCTCTCTCCAGTTCTCTGTCAAATAAATAAATAAAATCTTTAAAAAGTAGGGGCGCCTGGGTGGCTCAGTCGGTTGAGCAGCTGCCTTCGGTTTGGGTCATGATTTCAGGTTCCTGGGATCGAGCCACGCATTGGGCTCCCTGCTCAGCGGGGAGCCTGCTTCTTCCTCTCCCTCTGCTGCTCCCCCCGCTTGTGCTCTTGCTCTCTCTTTCTCTCTCAAATAAATAAGATCTTTAAAAAAAAAATCTTTAAAAAATATATATGTATATATAGTCAAAGCTGTGGTGAGTTCAGAACTGTTTTTAATTTGTATTTATCACAGATATTTTTATATACATTGGAAAAATAGGCTAGGGAATATTAGTCTATAGAAAATATTTGATGTATATGGATTTGAATGCCTCCTTGGTAGCAATTTCAAGACATCCCCTAACTCCCCCCTCATATGCACATATCCTCCCCTCAATACAAACCACTGTCATTTGGGGATATTGGTTACAGGTGCTTGAAGATAGCAGATACTTGTCAAATGGGTTTTGGGTAATGTATTAATTAAGAGGTTTTCAGTGAAGTCCTGGCCAAGATTTCTTGATACTAAAGGCAGATTTGTTAGATTAGATGTCTCTTTAAAAAGCCTCTGATACTGGGACCAATTGCTCATTCTGTATCCTGTGATACCTGTAACGTTAGACATTTGGTTTATAGAAAGTTTGTAAGCAAGAGTGTTGGATAAAATTTTTCAGTGTTTAACTGATACTTGACAGTGCCATTTTTTGGAATTAAATTGTGTATTCTTTCCACAGGAAGTTTTAGGGTACAAAGTGGACTATCATGTATCCCTGTATATTGTGGCTGTACTAGAGTATATCTCAGCTGATATTTTGAAGTTGGCTGGTAATTATGTTTTTAATATCCGACATTATGAAATATCTCAGCAGGACATTAAAGTGTCAATGTGTGCAGATAAGGTAAGTGTTAAGTGGTATTTAAATTTAACTTGAATAATAGTGACTATATGTCACTTCTGCCTCTTTTTTATACACATTTATATTAGTAATTTTTATAATTCCTGGTGTTGGAAGACAGAAAAATGCTGGTGTTTTAGACAAACCATGATACTTTCAGCATATGACAGGATGGGAATCTCCCCCCCGGCCCCTCAAGAATCTTTTGCCTACAAGAGAAAAACAGCCAAAGCCTCAAACCAATTTAAGAAAAATAGTTTTGAGTTTTATCTTTTTAGAAAGAAAATATATACAGAGCAGTCGGGTACTTTTAAGTATAAGTAATTTTGAAAAGCATACTTTGGTTTCACAGAATAGTGGGGCACAGCTAGAGAGCAGAAGACTGCAATGCCAGTGTTTCTTCCTTCTGATACTGTTTTTGTTAGTTACCTCATTGCTTCCTGGCTGTAAGCCTCTGGGGGAAGAAACTGAGTCTCTTTATTTTCCTTTCTTCTCCTTTTCTTTCCTTTCTACTTTTTTTTTTTTTTTTACTTTTTAAATGAACATTTTTGGGTATCTGTCAATGTGCCAGTCACTGCCCTGAGCTTTAAGGATCCAGCATTGAACAAGACAGCAGTCCCTGTGTTAGAAGGAATTTATTTTAGTGGGGAAAAAAATATGGTAAAAAACATAATAATTGCAGCACAGTGTGATTAAAAACTATTAGAAGCCAAAGTGCAGTGGAGAAAGTGGTCACCTCTGGCATGGGGGAGACCAGGAACACTTCATAGAGAAGATGCCTAAACTAGACCACTAAGGTTGAATGACCCCTAGAACTTGGCACATGCCAGTGGTTCTCTACTTTGACTGTACATCAGAACTACCAGAAAGAATAGTGATGCCTGCATCTTACTCCCAGAGGTTCTGATTTACTTGACCTGGGTTAGGACTCTAAGCCTCGATATATTTTGAAAGCATCCCAGGTGATTCTGATGTGCAGTTATTGTTGAGATCTGCTGTAGTCTGCCTTGATCTCAAAAATGATTTTTCACTTGAATTTCATAGTAGAAATTCCTAGATATTTCTATTTGACTTCTAAAATTATGATGACATGCTTTAAAAAAAAAAAAAATTTCTATCTCAGACTTCAGAAAAGTTGCAGGTGCAATAAAAGATACTCCCCTGTGCCCTGAACCACTTGAGGGTAAGTTGCCAACATAGTTTACAAACAAAAACATTCTTCCGCATACCATGGTATGACAATCAAAATCCAGGGAATTAACTTTGATACATTATACTATCTAATTTTCGGGCCCTATTCAAGTTTTGCCAGTTGTCCCAGTGATGTCCTTTATAGCAAAATGATCCAGTCCAGAATTAGTCATGTATCTTTCAGTCTGGGATAATTCCTCATAATCCTTTAACTTTTGTGGCCTTGATACTTTTGAGGATTACAACTAGTTGTAATTGTTTAAAATGTCCCTTACTGAGGCTTCTGGGTGGCTCAGTTGATTAAGCATCCGACTCTTGATTTTGGCTAAGGTCTTGATCTCAGGGTCGTGAGTTCAAGCCCCACATTGGGCTTCACAGTGGGTGTGGAGCCTACTTAAAAAAAGAAAAAGTCCCTTACTTTAGTTTTTTTCTGGTATTTTCTCTTCATTAAATTCAGGTTATGGATCTTTGGCCAGGAATATCATAGAAGTAGTGCTGTACTCTTTTCATTGCATTTCTCACATGGCACACAATTTTGATGTGTCCCATCACTGGTGATGTTCATTTTGATCACTTGATTAAGGGGTTGTTTTCCAGGCTTCTCTGCCTTGAAGTACTATTTTCCCTTTTGTAATTAATAAATATTTTGTGGAATATTTTAAGATCGTGAATATCTTGTTCCTCATTGCACTTGAAATTTATTCATTTGTTTATTTTAATATAGGCTCATGGATTCTCATTTAATATGCTTTCCATTATTTCATTACTTATTTTGATAATTCAAATTGTCTTAGATCTGGCCAGTGGGAGCTCCTTTAAGTTGGCTTCTCTGTCTGTATCATTCTTTGAACACTTCCTCTTGACAGAAGATGTTCCAGGTTCAGCTTTTCTTTACATGCTGCTCACGCCTGGGATTAGTCATTTTCTAAAAACTCCAGGTTCCTTTTAGTGGAGAATGGTATTTAGAAACCAAGATCTGGGTACTAGGTAAACTCACTGCTATTATGGTGTACATGTTCTGGTCTCTAGATGCCAGATTTGGGGAGTGTGTGTGTGTATACATTATATGTATACAACACATCTATATTTATTTCTCATCTATGTTTTTGTTGTTATGGCAGCCCAAGAAAACTAATACAGGCGTGTACTTTCACAAGTTGTTTATTTTCCAACATAGGTGGTATGTTAGCATCAACCTACATTTAAGTGGGGGTGGACCTGTAACGCAGGTGGTAATTCAGTTCTGCTTAGAAGATAGTATTGTACTACCTACTTCTGAGTAGGTAGAAAAATTTTGGGAAATCTGCTTTACCATTCTCTCAGGCTTAAGCTTCTAACTCAAGAACTACCCTGTGTCTACCAAAAAAGAATTATCTATCTTTATATGAATTCACAGATCTCTCCAATCCAAACCAATACCATAGGGTTCATTTTAGCCTCCCCTTGTTCATATTTATAACTGTCTTGTCTGACAGAAATCTGGCTCCCATTTTTCTTAATATATTTTCCTATTTGGTCTGTTCTCCTGTATCTAACCAGTCTCCTAACAGTCATCTCTTCCTGCGCTGGTACAGGCACCTTCTTTAACTGCTTAATAGTGGTTGCTGGTATGGTAACTATGCATGAGAAAAGGATCACAGTGTACTCTGTCATGTGCTTCTACAGTAGTATCCTTTTCTTTTTTCCAAGTGCATATAGCTTTCTTCACAACAGGACAAGGAAGTACCACTATTTTGAATGCCTACTCTTTGCCAGACATAGTTGTATGCATTTTATGTATACCACCTCATTGAATTTTCTCATCAGTTACATTTTACATAGAAGGAATCTGCTTTCAAAAGAATAAATAAGTTGTCTGTAATCACAGGTAAGTAAGTGATTGAACCAGGATTTTGGCTCAGATTGTTGTCCTTGAAAGGTATGCTCCTTTTTGCTATTATATGTGTGTATAGTTTATGTGTGTGTGTGTATTTATATACACACATTTATATGTATACACACATATATTTCAGTGTTAGGCTTATCTTATTTCTATAAATATTTATTTATTTTTGCATATCCAGTTTTGTTTGGACTTTTTTTCCCTTCAACTTTTCATATTTCTCTTATTTGAATTTTCTTATATAAATTAGCTTGTAATGCGCACAGCTCTCATTGTTTAATGTTTTAATTCTAAATACCTTGAGATCATTTTATAAAAGTATGGAAAATAAGTTTCTACATTATTGATTTATATTTGTCAGGTTTTGATGGACATGTTTGACCAGGATGACATAGGTTTGGTTTCTCTCTGTGAAGATGAACCCAGTTCTTCAGGTGAATTAAACTACTATGACCTTGTCAGAACTGAAATTGCAGAAGAAAGGCAGTATCTACGGGAACTAAATATGATCATAAAAGTGTTTCGAGAAGCCTTTCTTTCCGACAGAAAGCTGTTTAAACCTTCTGTAAGTACCTTTTTGGTTTGAAATTTTATGTACCCCAAAAGCAGCTTAAAATCACAAGTAGGAACTTTTTATACTTTATGAGTGTATAACAAAAATATTCTATTATGTAGTATTTATGGTTTTTAAAATATGTGAATTGTTCTGTATTAAGGGCAGTGACGGTGGAAGTCAGACACAAGTGCACACAGCTGCCCTGATTGGAAAGGGGGACTGCACGGGAGTGGAATCTTCCTGCTGTGCAGGATTTGAGGTTTATAGTCATTCGTTTGAACGTAGTGAAAAAGATGTATGGTCTAGAAAAGAAAGACTTAATACTTTTTCATGTCTTTTGGTAAGTACTTTAAGGCAGTGGTTTAAAGTTTTAACAGTGGAACTTTTTAAGAAAAAAGTTCATGCCGAGTGCCACATAAACAAAGGCAGAGCTACTCCACTGGAATATGGGATAGAAGTGCTGGCAGTAGGATAGGAGCCTTGTCCTTTTTCTTACCTCTGTAGCTTCTAAAGTCAACTTAAGGAATACAGCTAGACAAATACTGTCTTTTTTAAGAAGTTTTTTTTTCTTTCCTTTCTTTATCCCATGATTTATTTTTCCTTAGATGTCTGTGTGTCTGCCCTTCACTTTAAATACTCAGCCTTTTTTCTACCTCCTGATTTCCTCCCCCAAATAACTATTACATGAGTGAATGTGCAGACACAGCTGGCTGAGTGTTTAAGATTAGGAAGTGATTTAGCCTCTTTGATTCTTTTCCAAAAGCATGAGTTTCAGTGATAATGTAGGGTTTTTTAGTTGGCTTCTGTCCTTTTTTTTTTTGGTACTTATGTTTAATGTTTTGTAGCAGCTCCCACTGGACACACTGCTTTAATCGCATTTTGTCATTTTCAAAGTACTGTCTATTTTATGTGACCCTTGTAACACTCCTCTGAGATAGATGAGACAGGTATTATCATCTCTGCCTTACTAAGATAAGGAAATTGACACAAAACGATTATGACTTGGTAAGTTACAGAAGTTGAACTTGAACTTGAGTTCTTTTATACCACAGTATAATTGGTTCTATCTAAGAATAAAAACCTAACAGATGCTAGTAGCTTATTTTATCTTCTTTGGCTTTTCTGTGTCCCATTAGTATTCATTCCTCAGGAATTAATTTTTATGGGGTCTCTTCTCATTGATAGTGCTGATTTGATAGAAAATTTCAACTGTGGTACTGAAGGGTCAAGAGAAAGAGGGAATTCCTTATCTTTTTAAACTTTTTTTAGCATTTAGATATGGATTTGCTATATTTACTGTATTTTTTTCTACTGTATTTTTTAGTCTCAATAGACTGTAAACTTTTGAGGTAAAGACCATCTGAGATCAGAGCATAGTACTCAGCAAATATGTGATAAAGGAATGAGTGATTTAAAACTAATCTTAATTTACTCCTTTAGGCCCTATCCCTTTGTCTTCAAAAAGCTCACATTTGGGCGCCTGGGTGGCTCAGTTGGTTAAGCAACTGCCTTCGGCTCAGGTCATGATCCTGGAGTCCCGGGATCGAGTCCCACATCGGGCTCCCTGCTTGGCGGGGAGTCTGCTTCTCCCTCTAACCCTACCC